GGCGGTCAGGGGCTCACTACTGTAGCCAAGTTTTCACAGAGACTTTATTCTAAAGATGGCACAATGTGTGTTGGGGGTTGAGTTGACAAGACTGCTTTTGCCCACCCACAGGCTGGATCGCAGCTGGTTCCTGAAAAGAAGCCTGAGGAGGCCAGCAGTTAGCGGCATGCATCATGTTCTGATGATTTGGATTCGCCACAGCACTTGTTCATGCCACTATCAATCTAGTGTGCCTCATGCAGCTAGCTGCACAGACTTACACCCGCAAGATGGCGCAACAAATGTCTGGTCGTTTTTACTGCCTCCAGCTGTCTTGCAAACAATGAAGCAAGTCCAAAAAGCACTTGCTCCTCGTGGTTTCATACAGAAGTTCAGTAACTCAGCAACTCTCATGTTTGGTGAGGTATCTCGAGAACAACCTTCAAAGGGACTCCTCATCGATCTGATATGGATCGAGAAGATCCTCTCTGGTGGTAAAGTGTGGGAGGTGCGCGGAGAAACAACAAAACACCGGGGAGCGTTTGGACACCTGGGTTGCAGTAGTAATTGTTTCTGCAAAGGTGTAATTGCAAGTTGTGCTGTAAATTGTTTGCAATGACCTTGGATACTTCTGGATTGACTCCTACCATGTTGAGGACTGGTGGCCCGTGGAAAGGTCCATGGTGTGGCCAACCTCGTTGACTGTCAGCAAGTGACTCACCAAGAGTTACGAGACAATGCTGAAAAGCATGCCATTGATGATCTGTCGATCATCAAGTACCCAAAGCCTTATGCCTGGATTCTAAGTGATGCAGTACGGTTTGATCCACCAATTCCTCACCTACCAAAACTTGCCTGCAGGATGTGGATGAATCTTGAATATCCAAATCGAACTGTCAAGATGGAACAGGTTTATTGCAGAGCAATGGAGGCCAATTTGGAAGACTTGGATTTGATCAAGAAGCTCGCAGACGAAGCCAACATCAGCTTTTACCCTTCATCAAGGATTCCCTATTTCCGAGTCACTCTGAAGGACTACGATATGGTAGAGAAGTTTTACTATGCAAAGGGTGATTGGGATGGCATGAAAGCTGCCTTAGACAAAGCTTTTCAACTAGTTCTGGAGGTTGCCAGGGCCCGGGATGAAGTGGCTTGCTTTCAGGCGCCTGACTTGAAAGCATGGCTTGAGAAGCGGGCCCTTCCCAAGACTGGAAGCGCTGATGTTCTTCGGAAGCGCGTGGCTTCCTGCAGAATTAGAGAGTTTGCAAGACCTTGTTCGGCCACAGCAGCGGCTTCAAAGCTTCCGGTTCCAGAAGAGAAGCAGCCTGATGGGTGCTTGGAACATGCTGACAGCGCCAATTCTTTGGAGAAAGGCAGTAGCCCCGACCATTCCTCTCCTGACAAGCCGCCTGAAGGTCCTACCGTGCAGATGTCTGGTGGCCCAATGCGCTGCAAATTCTTTGCCCCATCCTAAGTTGATGTCTAAAGTCTTAGTTTTCAAAGATGGCACAACACACTTGCTGCACACTGTAACCAACATCTAGCTGTCAAAACGCAGCAAACTACTGCAAATGATTTGTTTTGGCATCCTAGGATCCCAAAGAGGTGTCGGAGCAAGTTGAGTCGATGGTGCAGGAGGCTCAGAGCAAGACTCATGCTGCCTACAATGGGCAACCGTTCATTGTAAGCAGGCAGCTCCATGCGAAGTGGATTGGTACACAGACATCAGAAGCGCTTTCTTTTGAGAAATGCTGCCCCATTCTTTTGGCGAAGAGAAATGTATCTTGCAAATGTTGTTTGAGCAGCTTTTGAGGTGAAGGTTGTTGCTGTATTTTTGACCAAGTGGTTTCAGGAAAAATGTTCAGAACAGTTTCTCCAGAATTGTAGATGGCGCAATTATGTGCATTTTGGACACCAGTTGACCAGGTGACCTATTCCCGGCGCAAGGGCATCGTGGTCCTCAGGATGATCTTTTGGGCTCCATGGACTGTCCTCAAGGTACCTGAAGATTTCCGGCGCATGATTGCCAGGCTTAAGGAAGACACCAATCTTGAACTACAAGGCTTTTGCTCTTTTACCACTACAGTGAAGGAGCACCCAGCCATTCCCATGTTGTCCCCCTTCATGGAAGAATTCCCAATGGTGTGGCTGCAATTTGGAGAATCCTTGGGAGAGGAATGCACGCTGCAAGTTGTACAGCTAGGACCGACGCCCTTGCTAGAATTGCAGGACCTGTGCCTTGCCTGTGATGAATGTACTCTTTGTGTTTTTGTTCCAAAGATGGCGCAATGCATTCATCCCCCCCCAGATTTGGGACATGTGGGCAACCATCCAACGGTGATAAACGTGTTGTATGTTGAAATACTTCAAAGATGGCTCAATGCAACCCTTCCTTCATGCCTGACATGCAACAACAAGGTGGGTGGCTGCCTCTGGGAAATTGAACCGCTGCCAGCTGGGTCATTTTGAGCAGCTCGAGAGAGAGCAGCATTTGCAGAGTGAGATCAAAAAGGCTATCAAATCCAGAATCCAGACAGGTGTTCTTGGCGAATGCATGGCTGTGACCACAAAGCCCGATCTGAGTAGCAAATGCTTGCTCTGGCTACAACATCAAGAGAATGCGACAATGCTAGCAGAGATGAAAGCAATCCTTCTGCAGGTGGCCAAATGCAGCCCGCCCATCGCTGGAATCATCCGCCACTTTGGCTTCAGAGCTCAGAATAAATTTGGCAACTTCAACGCGGTCGAAGCAGCGCACGCAATTGTTCTGCACGAGTCATCTTTCCTGGCTGACTTGGAGTCCAGTCTGAGGACACAACTGTGAGGTGATTTATTTTTACACCAGGAAAACATTGTTGGCGCAACACAGTGTTGAGCTCCTTTTGATTCCTACTGATTCTGCTCTAATTCCTTTTGATTCTTTATTTTTTGCTTTTGGTTCCTACTGATTCTACTTTTAGTTCAGGCTTCCAGCTGGCAGGAGAGGACTACAAGCCAGCATGCAAGAAGGATCCCCTAGCGCTTGGAAAGACATCTTGCAGCAAGATTTGATTGCGTACAAGGGTCTCACAATGTTTGATGAGATCCTATCAAAGGAAGAGTGCTTTGATGCTTTGGCGCTTCATGGTCAGATGAAGTCCAGCTATCAGAATATGCTTGCCTCGATCCAGAACAGACATGCGCCATTGGCAGTTGGCAGACGGCCGAAACCTGTTGAGCAACGTAAGATTTCTGCCTTAAAGCGTAAACTTGGAGCCCTGGCCTTGGAAGGAGACTCACTTGCAGATTTGGCTTTGAAGAAAGTGGAGCAGCAGCAGAAGGAATCACTTGCTTCCAATGAAGGACGGAGACGAGGCTCAGCAAAGGCAAAAGCTGCTGCCAGAAAAGTTCTGAGGAGAAAACATGCAGCAAAGAAGAACTACAAGCGAACAAAGGGAGATGAGTTGTCTTTGCTCAAGAAACGCAGCATCGTGCCTTGACATATATGTCTGTATATGTACTGCAAATTTCATTATGGTAACAAAGGCATTGCTGTTGGTATGGGTTCTTTTCCCTAGTTGCGCCATCTTGGAGGGTTGGGCGGGTGTCTGTTTTGTGTGTAACAGGCCTTGTGGTGTTTCCCAAGAAGAAAATTACCACCTTGTAGTCTGTTTGGGATCCTTCCCCTAGTTGCGCCATCAATTGTGCCAACTTTCCAGATCTGCTGATTCAGGTTCGGTGGAGCTTTGAACATGAGGCAAACGTTGAGGGCAGCCTGGACCGAGCAGTCAAAGAACAATTTCCAGAGTACAGCAGCAGACGCTTGGCACATTGGAGGCGGCAATATCACAGCCAGGGTTGGGAAAATGTACCAGACCATGTAGCAGCCAAAGTTCCTCAGGTTCCGAACAAATACCTTGACCTCCAAGCTCCCAAGAGGGGCCCGCAGAACCGCAACTATGGTTTGCCAGAAAACCTCCAGACTGTGTTGGAGGGTCAAGTGAATCGTCTTGCAGAAGGAGAGCACGGGATCATGGCACGCAGCGACCATGTCACCCGTCATGACTTGGTAGAAACCGTGCAGTGGTTGCAAGAGACGGTGAACAAGGAGATTGACTCTGAAAAAGCTGCTGTGCAAGATCGGAACCGCGAGCGCTTGAGCTCTTTTGCTCAAGCCTCTGGTGAGATGTCCTGGGAGGAGCTTGCTGACCAGATGGAGATAGAGCCAGGCTATATCAAATCCAAAGACTTCAGGCATGTCGCGATGAAATTTTCCAAGGGCCGTGGCTACACAAAGCAAGCGACAAATGCAAGCGGAACCTACTTACCATACGACGATGCACAAATGCAGGAGTCGCCAGGAACAACCGTATTTTTTGTTTCAGGAATCTGAGCATCCTGTTTTCACAATCCCTGCTAGCAATGGACTTGTAGATGGAACAACTCCCATGTCTACAGCCTCCAAAGATTTACAAAGGCCCCACCTCTGTAACGCCATCGTTTCTCAACTTACTGTAGTGCTATTGCCATACTGTAGTTGAGCCACTCCCACTGCTTTTTGTTTGCTCCTCTTTCCGAGTTGCGCCATCTATAAATAATCATGTTTGGCTCTCTCTCTCTCTCTCTCCCCACTTTTGGCTTCCCACGCAGTGATTTACTGTACTTTAGTTTAGACTTTTGAGTTCTCAGTTCTCAGGTTCTACTGGAGTGTATACGGAATTGTGTAGGATTGGAGTCAGACCCAGGTCAAGGCAGAAGTTTGGCAACATTGTCAAGCGCGGCCAGATCCCGCTACCGCTGATCCTTAATTATGATCAGACTTGGATCAATGGGTACCGCCAACCTAAATGCACCTTACGGTTGAAGAGGACAAAGAGAGGGTCGAAGAATTTGACACGAGTGCTCGCGCTTCTGGGCGGTCGCAAAGGCGTAAGCCTTTGCGCGAGCAGCTGGGCGAATGGCGACAGAGGCCCGCTCTTTGTGTCGGTAGGTGCTAACGCCGTTCCTCAGAAATTCATCACAGAGATGAATCAGCACCCGGGCAGCAATGAGTCCTTGTGTGTGAAATGTTGAAAGATGGCGCAACAACCAGGATACGGCAAACCTCTTGTGTTTCTCAGCAGTGTATTCTGTTACAGCAGAAGTGAGATGGCAAGCAAGGAAAGGCCGTGGAAAATTCTACATCCACAAGAATGACGCAGGGGGCCATTTCATGCATACGGAATCCACTGTGATTTTCTTCCACCGCCTGTTGAAGGACGCATTCGATGCACGCCGCCAGAGGTTTAACTTACATGGACGGCGTGGTATGCTTGTCGCCGACGCGTTCACCGGCAATTTCTCGGGGAAAGAAGGCCAGGACAACCATTGAGAGCGTAGAGTTTGTGATGTGTTGGATTCCTTTCACTCTGTCCTGTCAATCAGAGACTACTCTGAAGGATTCTTTCTACTGTAGATGGCGCAACCTAGTTCAGGCATGGCTCTGCTGCGCTGGAAGTTCAGTGAGGAGATGAACGTAGAGCTACCTTCCTTGCAACCAGGTGGCTGGTCCGCCCATGGACAGCCACAGGAGACGCATGCGCAGCATATTGCGTGTGTCTTTCCGTTGGTCATGCATTCTGAGTTGTGCCATCTATATCTGTCTCTGAGTATCATTATTGAGGGTATCAACAAGGAGGTCACACTCAAAGTTCATCCCATTGATTCAGAAGTCCTGTAAGGATCTCCTTCTTCTCTCCTTTCCTTTTCTGGCCCTGCTCCTATGCCATAGAGTCTGAGAGGTGCTGTAGATGGCGCAACGCCTTGTTTGCTTGTGCTTCCTGGCAGGATCAGGTTCACGGTTTCCTGAAGAGATTGAACGACTCCACTGTAAGGGAGAAGATCGGATTTGGCAAGAACTTGTTCTTCAGAAGTGAGTTTTACAAGCCACTCAGATGTCAATCAGCAGTTGTTTGGAAGATGCTGTACTGTATCCATGATTCAGCTGAAAGTGATCGGCTGCCGACCTCAGGTTGGAGGTTTCTGGCTCGGGCCAAGTGCGGAAAGAAATCCGCATGGAAGATGGCAGCTCGCAAGAACAAACCATGTTCTTTTGCCTTGACTGCGAGTAACTGCAGGTTTGTCAGTGGTCATCTGCAACAATGGAGTTCCAAGTGTTTGTTTGCATTCTTTTTGTAAAGATGGCGCAACACGTGTAATCCCGTCCTCCTAATAATAAACACGGGGCCCCCCCCCCCTATTAAAACAGCCTCGGTCGCATTTTTTCTAATAGGGGGTCCCTGAAATCGGGGGGGCCAAAATAGGGTCACCTGGATACAGTTTCAAAACCAAAAACTAATCCAGGAAACTTTTATATAAAATCCTTTATTAAACTCATATCAAAAATGCAAAAAACCGCCAGATCGAAGCTTCCTTTTCCCCTACAAAAACCTTCATTAGAATAGTGATTCTTCAGTAGACTAACAGCTAAAGCTTTCGAAAGGTGATGTCGCTGTGCCATGCGGTGTTGCATGACCTCGGTGGCAAGTGCGTTTGCGTGAGTCCGTGCCATTGAGGGAAGGAAAGCCTGCTGGTGTAAGCGCGGCGTGTCATGGTGGAGTTTTCGGGAACCTAATTAAAAAACTACCACCAAAATCGACCATGTTGGTAGTTTAGTAGCGGTTTGAAAGGGCGGCAATTTAAAACCAAATATAAACCGAATTTAGGGGTTCGGACGTGGTGTTTTTTTTAATTGGGGAGTGTTTATTAATAGGTACTCGGGATTACCCAACGCTTTTGCTGCCTTAGCAGCATTGGTTTTGGGAAAGGAGCTGAGGGAAAATTGTTCGTTGTGTCTGATGTTGTTCCTGATTTCTTGCCGACAGTCATTGCGCCTTCGAGGAATTTTGGATTGCATCATGAACTGGGAGAGAATCCCCAATTCCTTGTTTGGCCGCGCTTGGATCACCACTGGCCATATCACTGAAGAGGAGCTTTTGGCCAATTCCACCATCACAGCTGAGGAGCTGGCGCAAAGCCATCTTCTCCAAGATCCTTTGGAGCTGTCCGCCATCTTGGGAGCAGGAAATGACGATGAGCCATCTTTGGAAGAACTCATCCTTCAGGGGTCGCAGAAGCGAAAGCGGGTGCAGTGGGTTCTTGATGGAAGAGATGGCCCTGGTGTGCAAGCTCTTCTGCCAGCCACGCTGGTGTTTCCAGTTGAGAAGAGGCTGTGTCACTTTTTGTACCACGTGGCCAAGCATCCGGACAATCCACCTCAGGCCAGAAGTACCTTGGTGTTGAACCGCAGGACAGGCCGGGAAGCAACTGCTGATGCTCTTCGCAAGCATACAGTTCTGGGAGCCTTCAATTTAAGGGCTTTGAAGCCAGATGCGCCTGCAAGAGCTGTCAAGGACTGTGGTTTCTTTCAAGCAAATAATTTTCTGTTCATAACCTATACCATATCTATAATGACCAAAGAGCGTGCCTCAGAAACAAGCTGTTGAAACCTTTTTGTCGCCCAAAGATGGCGCAATCAAAGATGGCTCAACACGATGCAGGAGCTATGCTGCATACACTTTGATGCTCAGGACCTGACTTTGCAGTTCCCATCAGAAGCGAACGCCCGCCAGTTGACATGTCAGTTGCTGCAACCCAATGAGCAAGACCTTATTGAGGCATTGGACGCAGCAGAGGTCCAAAGACTTTTTGGACCTGATGCAAACGGAGATGGTGATCTTCCGCCCAGTGATGCAGAAAATTATGAGCCTCCGGAAGATGATGCAAATATAGAAGCAGAGAACCTTGTCCAACCAGATGCTCAGGGTGATGATGCCAATGAGGAAGCAGGGGAGATCTCGGAAGCAGATGCTATGGACGATGCAGCCCCGGGAGAACCTGATGATGACTTGCACAGAGATCCGATGGAGGTGCCCTACAACTACCATGAGTTGAATGCTGAAGACTTTGATGTGGTGGAAGAACTTGTCTATGAGGCACCTTCCAAATCACCGGCTCCTGCAGAAGCTCCGTTTGTGGTTTCTAGCACCAGTTCCAGCTCTCGTGGCCTCAACGTGACGCCCATGCATGTCAGATCCCTTCTCCCGCCGTCCTCGAGTGCAAAAATTCAGTTGAGGATCAGCAAGAGGGAATCTGTGGCTTCAGGTTGGCAGGCTTGGTCTGCTCCCTTGAGTCCTTCAAAGTGGTTCAGCTTTGGGCCTTCTGGCCAATATGTTGACCAAGAGAAGGCCTTGAATGCAGCAATAGCATGGCTGTGGGACCAGCAGACTTCGTGAGCTTACTTGACCATCGCCTCGAAGATGGCGCAATACAGCATGATTTCCACTGAATTTACTCCAATGGCAAGGGGTGCACCCGGTTCTACTGCAAATTCTACTGTAATCGCATCCCAAACATCTGTTCCCAAACACCTTTGTATTTGCGAGGAGTGCACCCGACTTCGTGAGCTTACTTGACCATCACATCGAAGATGGCGCAATACAGCATGATTTCCATTGAATTTACTCCAATGGCAAGGGGTGCACCTGGTTATACTGTAATTTCGACTGTAATCGCATGCCAAACACCTTTTCCCAAACACCTTTGTATTTGCGATGAGTGCACCTGTTCATCCTAAGATGAATTCGAGCAGGGATGCCCTGCGCCATTTTCAGCAACACTTGGACGCTCCTTCAGTGTCCAGATTCCTGAGCAGTCCTTGTGTTTGCTTGCCACGTTCTTTTTTTGGGATGGGAGAAAAAGAGCTTTGGGATGCGCCATCTATAGATTTTGCAGCCCTAGTTTTCATTAATATTAATGATTTTTTTTGCGACAGTTTTATGTGCTTCCTAGCTCAAAGATGATTCAAATTGACATGTGGTGTTGAGCCATCTATGGCTATGGTGGCTACCCCTGAGTTGCGCCAACAATTTTTCAACCGGTGTAATAGGACCCGTAACCTGGGGTACGGTCTATGGGAGAGTCTATACTGTGGTACCACGTTCAGCTCCACTTCTTCCGCACTCCGCGTGTTAGACCGCGTGGTCTGAGGAGAGCAATTTGACTCTGGAGAGCTTGAGTTCAGTGAAATTCCTCAGGCATGGCCGAACAGCGCTGTGGGATGCGTCGTAGTCTGGAATGACCCTATACATGAGAGTATTATGATCACCCGGCTCTAAATAATGTCATATCATTTCCTCATCACTCTGGATGTTCATTCCCAGGAAAGCATGTTGTACATTGTTATGCATTACTATTTTTGTTTGGTCGATGATATGACGGGAATTGATATCCCACCCCCTGCATACATGTCCTCGAGAAAACGTATGCGTCCTGGGGGCACCTTCCCCTCCCTTGCTTTCATACATTGATTCCGGAAATTACAGTAAGCTTCTGAGGAGGCATTATATAATATGTACATGGCGATTTCAAGAAATACTCTGTGATAAGTTTCCAGTATCCTGATATACCATTTCAAGAAATACCATATACTGGGGTAGCTTCCCCATGCCTAAGACTTTGCCATTTCGATGGCGTCGTAGAAAACTGGCACCAGCACTTTCCGAGGGCAGATTTCAGTCCCAAGGCCCGGTCCCTGTGTTCTACGGAAACTTGTTTGGCACCATGATATGATGCACCGCACCTCATCATCATCATCATCATCATCATCATCATCATCATCATCATCAATCTCATTATGTTGACCCCCCTCTCGTGGCACGCAACCTCCTAGCTGCAAAGATTGAATAACATCGACGAAGACTACCCTTTGAGGAGCTGCACTGAGGCGACGTCATGTTGTTCAGAAAAAGAGGGCCGTGAGGGCTCCAGGTACCTCCATTTCGGTTCGGAGGTTTGGAATGGGTTGGAGCCCCAAGAGTATCCCTCAGTCCATCCCATCAACTATAAACACACCATGAAACCAATTGAAGACTTCTGATAACCCCCTAGCCTCCCAGCTGCCATTACCGGTGCATTTCTGGAGACGCCGGACACACGCTCCTGGACACAGGTGCTGCTGTCGATACCGGAGCAGTGTGGCCACCAGTCGCAGTTCGACACCTTTGAATTCTGTGAGTCCAGTGAACCCGGGGGTCGACTTCACCCCAAAGCCTTCGGATGCGAGATCAGAGGATTAAGGCCTTCAGATACTCTGGGTGTGGGGTGTGGTCTTTTCAGTGGCAGACGTGGGGACTCCCGAAAACTTAAGAAGATGTTGGAACTCTGTCCTTTTGATCGACAGTGTTTGACTTTCAATGTATGACAGGAAACCTTCATTGGGAGGTTTCACGTCCTGATGTGGAACGACGAGCTTGGTTCCCTAGGGATTGACCCTTTGTAGAGTTGGATCCTGGTCATTTAATGTGTATACGGTTTCAGAGGATCGATGGCACA